TGTCCTTTCGATGCACTGGAAAACAGAGTACTACTTTTCAACTGAAGTCCATCGTCCTTATTTTGGCTTGATTCGAAAGATATACCGAGACCATTCGATAAGACGGTTAAAATTAGCTTAAACCACTACGAAAACCATGGAAGTTCACGTTAAAAAGTTCCCAATGTTTACTATGCCATTTGAATTTTTACAACTTCTTTTCAATACCTTTTATAGATTTGTGCTATACTTAGAGTGACCCTTCTGCCCCGGATACAATAAGCTGATTTTGAACCAGCATCATCAAGAATTAACGTCTAAACTGTTTATAATACGTATTATACTATAGAATTCATCGGTATTGATTACCTGCAAATTGCTATGTACCCACGGCAAAACCCTGCCCCATTCGAAAATTAGTGCACAAATGGCGCGCACTTGAATGTTACGACGTTCCATTGCCGTGGGCACTGCTCTTTTCAAGTCCACAATGCCAAAAAGGAAGGCTGACAAGGTGGGTCTGTCATAGTATGTTGTAACTTATGCATATTCTGGTTTTGGTGGTATAAATGATCCAGGAACTCCACATCTCGGCTTTTATTGTAGGCCAAAAGGTTTGAGTTCCTAAAGTGGTATTGACTTTTTTCTTGTGATGTAGAATGTGCTACAAAAGTCTACACGAGTTCGTTCAAGGTACGGGAGCAGGAATTGAGAAAGGGTTGATTGCCGCATACAATGAAAACAAAAATTATTCCTGACCATGGCTTCGTGTATAGCTTATCGGTGTTCTAGTGAGAGCCAAACAGTGCTTTCCATACACTCTGTTCTTCTCTTGCACTAGTTCCTCTTATTCTGTTCAGGGTGAATTCTTCAAGCCGAAAAAAGCAAAAGTCGCTGAAGTAGAGACGGAAACCAGCGATGATACAAAAGAAAATGGGCTACGCGGAGATGAGAATGAACGATCGTGGAAGATTCTTTCTTGGAACGTCGCTGGTTTGAGAGCGTTGGTGAAGGTACGTTTCGCAAACTTATACTTGAAGGTTAGAGTTCAAATACACAAAAACCTGCGGCAAAGTAACGATTGACTTCGAAGGAAAGGACTAATCTTATGAAAATTGTAGTGTTCTCTAACCAGTTATTTGCTTGTAAGCTCATTTTTAGAAAAATGGCCAAAAATCAATAATATCGCAATCTCCCGACCTTGTTTTTCTAAGCGAGATCAAGTGCAATGAATGGCCTGTGGACTGTGAGACAGACTTCAAGGTATTGCATCTATCGATAGCTCTCATATTTCATCAATAAATTAATTATTCATCATAGAAATATCACAAAACCTTGGTCATATCACAAGAGAAAAAGGGCTATGCTGGCGTTGCTTTGTTGAGCAAAATCAAACCGATCAAGGTGAGTTGCCTCTTGGATTCGTTCTCGTTTTGAGACGTGGGCTTTTTTTCGACGTTTTCATGACTGATTCTTTTGCATTAAAAATACAGGGCATGTGTGTCTTCTCTTAAAACAAGTGAAAGCACCTTCAGATTTGCGTTCGAACCTATTGAGAATGACTGCCCCATACCTGATTCCAGGTATGGAAGGGTATAGGAAATGCCAGCTATGACGGCCACGGTCGCCTCATCATAGCTGAGTTTACCCACTTCTACTTCATTGGTGCTTATGTCCTAAACAGTGGCCGTGGTCTTGTCAACCTTGAAAAAAGAGGCAAATGGGAAGAGCTTTTCCTCGAAAAGATTAAAGAACTTGATGAGAAGAAGCCCGTCATCTACAGCGGAGATCTCAATGTCGCGCACAACGAGATTGGTGGGTGTTTAGCTTGAACTTTGTCATGAGTGTTACGTATCCACTTTTTTTTAGATCTAGCAAATCCTGAAACCAATAGAAACAAGACCGCTGGTTTCACTGATCAAGAGCGCGAATGGTTTTCAAGACTGTTGGAAGCTGGTTTCAAGGTAATCGTCCCCGTAGAACCAATTCTTTGCTATTTTCCTTAACTCGATTCTAGGACACATATCGTGAACTGCATGGAGACAAGCAGGAGTACACGTTTTGGTCTTATTTGGGGAATGCTCGCTCCAAGAACGTAGGCTGGCGACTCGATTACAATGTTGTCAGCAATAGAATCTTTGAAAAAGTGAGTTCGATATTGATTGAATCCTATATGCTCGCACTTCTTGCAAGCTGGTGTTTTGTTTCTTTTACGCTGCTAAAACTCCGTTATCTCTACTGATTTCGTTTCTTTCACAGGTAAAATCCAGCGAGATTCTTACGGAAGTGATGGGCAGCGACCATGCACCAATAGTGCTCGAAATTGACATTTGAAAGCTAATTTTTGTTTTTTCCTATATCGAACTGTTACTGTTATCGTTATTCTCTCATGCTTTAGCAGACCATATTATCATTTACGAGTCAAATCTCGGTGTGAAGCCAAGCCATTAGTTTTTTCTCGCTTAGATATCATCTAGCCTAACTCTCTTAATGTGAAATAACACTTTGCCTGATCTCAGAAGATATTGGACAAATGTAATGAGATTAATTGTACAACTAAATTAGATATCTAACATTATCTAATGCTTTAAATTGTATTTTGCAGTTGAAATGTATTATGGAGTAAAACTCTTATTCACCTATGTTCCACATACATGTGGTGTTCACCATATTTATTACAGTGACGAAAATTGTTACAAAATATACACAGAAGAAGTAAAACCAGCAAACCGTCCGCTCGAATGGCTTTGTCGTTGACATAAACAGTTGTCAAGAAAAGATTCATACAAGTGCTCCCGAAGAGGACTATGTACAAGTAAATGTGAGCCGCATATAGCAGTGTTATGCTTTACCCTCTCAATTGTGCCAGCATACTTTCTATGTCTTGATCTGACATGGGTTTCGAGGAGGTTGCAGTTCCGATAGACGTGGGGACTTTGGGGACGTTGGCAAGCTGTAATAAACTTTGATGTAAACAAAATGATAAGCTTCTGTGAGTTTAATGTATCTAAAATCCGCACCCATCCTAGTGCCACAACTGAAACCTTGATAGATAATAGGTTAGCTACAACACTAATCGATGGACCTTTCCAACTGCAAAACAATATGCAGTTTGATGAACAAGATTGTTCAGAAATGAAATTCACAGAGTGACCATTCTTTCAGCTTTACAATGTGAACACAAGAAAAGAACCGTCATTCAATGCAACATATTTATCTATGACGGAAATTAATTCTAAAATAAAACTGGCCTTGCTTTGAGATTCGATGCCAATCTCGTCAAGAACTTGGTTGACAATGGCGTTTTGCTCCTCTTCGTCGCCAGGCTCGTCAAGGATGTTGTCAAGAGCATCGTTCATCATCTAAAGAAAATAAGAACAATTAACAAGGAAAGAAAAACAGGTAGGACGCACGTCATCAGTAATTCCAAGCCTTTCTTGAGCTATCTGGAATTCTCGCATGTTCTTCGCTAGCTGCTCAGCTGGCATCTGTTTCTCCATAGTTTTCATCGTGTTCACGGTGGTACCCATGACTTCAGCCATTTTGTTCATACTTTGCAGGTTACTAAAAAAACAGTGAGTGTTTAATTGATACTTCTCAAGTAACACATTGGAATTTAGTTCTCAAAAAATAAAGGCGAGATACTGCGAACAACTTGCATTTTTATGGTTTTTTT